GGGGAGCAGGGCTGGAGGTGAAGCCTCGGCACCCATGCTGGCGAGGTCATGTGGGCATGCCTGGGGCGTATCGAGGGGGTCTGCAACGGGGGGAGAGCAAAGCAAACGGGCAGAAATACTCTGAGGAAGCATCTTCAGGCACGAGGGGTGAGAAGACACAGTCAAGAGACTGGGATCACAGAATCCCAGCATGGCAGGGGTTGGAAGGGACCTCTGTGGGTCATCTAGTCCAACCCCCCTGCTGAAGCAGGGTCACCTACAGCAGGCTGCACAGGAGGGGCATCCTGAGCCTGCCTGGCAGCATCTGGGGACACCTGGGTGCCTGTCCCCAGCTCGGGGCCATCCCCTGCCCCTTCCCTGTGCGAGCCTTGCGTGGCTTCTCCCCCGCCTCTCATCTTCACCCTCACAACCGTGCTCTGTGTGCTGGGCGGGGAAGTGCTTGTCCGTGACTGTCACTAAGCGTCACCACCTTCTCTTTGTACAGTTGCTGGTGAGAAGAGGGTGCCAGTGATGCCCGGATCGCCCGTGGAAGTGAAGCTACAGTCCAGGTCCTCTCCTCCCAACATGCCGCCGCTGCCCCCCGTGAACCCTGGTGGCCCCCGGCCGGTGTCCTTCACCCCAGCTGCACGTAAGACCCCCGTAACGCTGCTTTTCCCGGGGACCAGCTCTAGCCAGGAGGAAAGGCTCTGCTGGTGGAGGTCATCAGGGATGTCTCGGCCACCAGCCAGGGCTGCTGGCTGGCACAGCGGGCATTAACGTGCTGCGTGGCTGTAAGGAGGGGGAACTGGGGCTTGCCTGCAGTTGTTCTGCTATGCAGGACATACAGCAGGGTCTGTAATCCCCCGCTGCTCCTCTGCCTGCTCCTGCCTTGCTCCCGGTGCTGCCTTGGGTCCTTCCCTTTGCAGGTGCAGCCTTGATTTCTGCCATAAACTCCTTATGAAATGGAAGTCTTTTATCAGGTCGGCTTCAAACAAGCCGGGAGCTGGGCTTTCCACTCTGTCTTTTGGAGGAGTTAATTCCGACTCTGCTGTATCTCACTCTGCAGACAGTGTTTCTGCAGCTGAAATTAGAAAGTTTTGCGCTTTTTTTATTTCCCAGCCTCAGAAATTCCTTGCTGTCCATCCAGATTCCCTTTGCTCTATTTTCTCTTTGTAGCCTTTCCTATTAAGCCACAGTCGATCCTGGTGCCACCCGGCCGTAGCACACCCTCGCACCCACTGCTTTTAGCAGGGTGTCGCTCAGAGGTGGCCCCACAGATGGGATGGACCTACAGCCTATTCCTTACAGCCTAGAAGAGTCTTTTTTTTTCTCTCCCTTAGCCAACATTTAAGCCATTTAATGTCTTTTAAAAAGCGTCATTCTGCTGTACTTTGGGCGTGGAGTTACCTGACCCCCGCCCATGGCACGTACATATTTTCCAGGCGCTCCTCACCCTTTTTCCCCCGCGCAGAGCAGCTCCCTGGCTGCTCCTGCGGTGCTTTGCTGCCCACGACGGTGTCTGGGATATCTCGCAGTTCCACGCTGGCAGTGGATTTTGGAGATGTACATCCAGCCTCTTCCAGAACGCTCGCTGATGTATTGCGTGGTGCTGGCGGTAGCACTGATCACCGGGTTATCCCGCCAGACACCTTGTCCCCATCTGTATGTGCTGAGGAGTTTTTAATGGCTCTCCTTTTGCTCAGGCAGAAAAAGACCATTAGCAAAGTGACAGAAATTAATTTTTCCAATGAGGTTGCTTGGCATGCTGTTAAGGGCCAAGGAGCCTGGATCTGCTGATTGCGGATGACTTAATTGCCTCTTTCCGAGACAAATGGGGGATGCAACCTGTGGTGAAGTTCATTCTTGCTTTTTCACTTCTCAGATGCACCCAAGGGTCTTGGTCAGAGTCAGTGGGTGTGTGTCCTGCCCTGTAAAAGCCCGTGGCTCAGGCAGGTGAGGAGGAGCATGCAGCAGCAAGGCCGTGCCTGCCTGTGGAATCCTGACAAAACAGTTGGAGAAGCAGCAAAAGCCTGCAACTACTGAGGACCTAAGGCAGAATCTGACAGAGTAGCCCACAGACGGTGACTTCTGTGTTCCCAGGCATTTAGCACGCTCGTCTCCCCAAACCAGTAACCCCACTGGTCTCGGTACGCCACCTCGCTTGCTGCAGTGCTGTCTTCTCAGCTGGAAGCAGAGGTCGCAGCCCGGCTCTGTGGTCTGTGGCAGAGCAGAGCCCGGCGATGCGCAGGATCAGATAACTGCCAGCCGCCCTGCGGTAACGCCGTTTGCAGGAGGGTCAGGCAGGCTGAGCCTGAAAACGCAGCGGGCGGTTATGGGGGGTGCGTCTAACGGCAGCCCCGACCTGACCCAGCTCGCTCTGCTACTGTGGTGTCACCTGAGTCCATCCATGTCCACCGCTCCCATCCTTGGCAGCCTCTCCCCAGGGCCCCCCACAGCCCCCCAGCCCCAGGGAGGGTCGCACAGCCCCTGCTTCTCCCAGGGTATAAATAGAGCTCGTTGCTCTCCCTGGTGTTTTCTTTGAAAGAATAAGAGGAAGCGAAATAGGGAAGGGGGCAAGGCGCCTTGGTCGCAGCCACCGGAGAGCGAGGAGCTGCTCAGTCCTTTGCTGTTGGAGATGAGCTCCTCTGGGCAGCTTTCCACCCTATTTATAACACTTTTATTGTGAAATAAATGCTCTTTCTGAGCAATAGCCAGAAGCCTTGCCTTTCACAGAGCGCTGCGTTTGCTGGTGCTCCGTGGTAGCTAGCGCTGCGGGTCCGTGCCATCTCTGCAGGCGTCTCTGTTCCTTTGCTGCTGTGGGGAAGCGGGCGCGGATGGAGTTTTTCAGGCTGCGTTGCTCCGCAACAAAAGGCACGAGCTGGCTTTGCCTTTGCACCTCCATCCTCTCAGTCCTGGCCTTTGCCTTCATTTCATCAGCTCTCTGTCTACAACAGGACACGTCTTTGTTGTGCCCCCGCAGAGCCTGTCACCCCTTGGTTAGCAGGAACCACCTTTGATGGTTCTTCTGCCTTATCTTTCCCTGGCATCTTAACTGACTCTGGTTAGTCTGCTCAGGTTCCCTCCTGTGCTCACCACGGCAGGTCCAGGTGCGTGGAGCCTCTCCAGCCTCCGACCCTGGCGTGCCCCAGAGCCGTTTAACTGTTCAGGCACCTCCTGCCGCCTTCTCCGAAAAACCCTCGCTGGAGTCCTGAGGGTTTGGTGGGATCCTTGTGAAGCTGCAGCGGAAATTTTGGCTTCTTTTTTCTTGCAAGTTGCTGCTCCATCACAGCACGCACCTTCCCCTGCCCCGCCTGCAAGGGTCAGCTCTGCTGGGTGCCTTCAGTGCTGCTTCTCCTCTGAACGTCGTCATTTGAAATGGTTTTTATAGCTTGTGGCCTTCCCTTCAGCGCTTGCATCCACAAGGGATTCAGGGCTGAGCTTTTAAGGATAACCCAGTGCATCAGCTAAAACTATATTTACGATAATGTACTTTTCACCTCTAAAATTCTGGATTTATACCGAGTTGAGGCCCCAGCGCACAGCTGCTCTTCAGACAGGGCTCTGGATTGCACAGCGGCAGCGCAGGGATGTCAACAATTTATTCTAATCCCTTGCCGAGTTCCCAGACCTCCAGCCCTTCAGTCCGTTTCAGCCTGCTCGCCGCTTACGGGAGGCAAAGTTGCAGATGGGACCGGACTGGAAAAACCAGCTGGGTTTGTGAGACTCCGTGTGACCGCCCAGGGAGGTGCGGCGGGGCAGGGTGCCGTGGGCCCTTCTCAGAGTGAGGTGGGGGCACCCAAGCTGCGGTGTCTGCAGTGGGAGCCCAGCTGAGATGGGCGCTGATGGCTGGCTGCAAGCGAAGGGGCTGGGGAGGGTGGTTGGGTTGCCTGGTCTAATTTTCTGCCTGACACAGGCCAGAAAACGCTGATCAGTGATTCTTGCCGAGGGCTGTAAACTTTGAGCTAAAGCACGTTAAATTCCTTGGGCCGAGCGTGTGGCGCAGCTCGGTCTGCTGCAGCGGTGGCTGGGTGCAGCCTGACCCCGCGCCCCGAGGCTGCCCGAAACGCGAGTAGAGGGGTGCCTGCTCTGCTGAGCCCCAACGCTGCCGGTGTCTGATGGCCCTGGATGTAAAGCTTGCTGAGCCGGGGGAGTCATGGCTGCGGTGTGAATCACACCTGAGCAAGCCCAGGTGGAAGAGGCCTGCGGATGCCTTGGCTGGGCGCGTGGTCTCGCAAAAGGAGCATCCCCACGAGCTCGGGGAAGGTTGAGGAGAAGGCACACGCGTTGCCAGTGACCGGCTCCGTCGCTGGGTGCCCTCCGGCACAGGATGCAGGCTCTGCTCCAGCTGTAGCCCCTGTTCTGGTTCTTGCCCTGCTTGCTCGCAGCAGTTAACCAGAGCACCCATCTCTCGGGTGGGAGATGGATCCTCTGAAACACGGGGCCGCAGGGACATGCCCATCAGTATCGCTTCTGTCTCCCGTTTGCAGTGCCCAACGGAATAAACCATTCCCCTCCGACGCTGAACGGGGCACCATCCCCACCGCAGAGGTTCAGCAACGGACCTTCCTCCTCCTCCTCCTCCTCGCTGACGAACCAGCAGCTCCCGGCCACGTGCGGTGCCCGGCAGCTCAGCAAGCTGAAGCGCTTCCTCACTACCCTGCAGCAGTTCGGCAACGACATTTCGCCGGAGATCGGGGAGAAGGTCCGGACGCTGGTCCTGGCCTTAGTGGTAAGCCCCGCACGCCAGCCCGGGCCGCTGTGGCGATGGGATCCCGGCAGCCAGCACGTGCCTGTGTTACTCGATATTATCTGCTCTCCTCTTTATAAACAGAGCTGTTGACTCAGCAAGACCAAGTAATGTTTAATGCTTTCTGCTAAGCTCGCTGGCTTTTTCTTTTTTTTCGTTGTCTTCAGTGGGTTTTGAAGAGCTGTTTGTGCAGTGGCTTTGGCGTGAGCTTGAGTACAGCTGAACTTCAGAAAACTTGGAAGGATTTGGACAAAGCTTATCGATGAAGGCCACAGGTCTGGTTCCTTGGGCTCGCTGGAAGCCATGGGCTATGCTGGGCTTCTCCAGTTCCTCTCCTGAAGGGAACTTTGCACGCAGTTCAGAGGAGCCTGGAGCCTGTAGTTTTGTATGAGAGAAGCGTTTTCTTGCTTGTGCAGATGTGTGATTGCCTGACCCTGGCCGTGGATCGGTTCACCTCTGATCTGCTTCCATGCAGAGAAGTCCCACTTCCAGCCACGGCCTCGTTAGTCCTGACTTCACTGTGCTCAAACTTGACGCTGCTTTGCTCAGCAAGGCAGCCAGGTGTAATGGAAAAGGCAGGGCAGCCAGTTGGGTACTGGGTCCTGGCACGAGCAGGGACTCGCTCCGGAAAGCTGTTAGTGCTGCTCTGCTCTCAAGTGTGTAGAGAAGATCATGACCCTTCGAAGACTTAATTTATAGTACACATTGGTGAACATGGTATGTGTTTAGAAGGCTTCTTTCCTCTTTATGGGCTGCTGCTGTATGTCTTAAGCCCACCAGCACAGCAGGGCTGGCTGTTGCCAAGGTCTGCAGAGGGTGGGAAGGTTGCTGCTGCGGCACACGAGCTCTGCGCTTCTGGTGTGCTGCTGCCTGGGGTGACCGCGTGTTTGTCGGCGTTACCGAAGGCGTTGATTTGGGGTTTGCGACAGTCTGAAGGTGCAGCTACAGGAAGGGGCTTGGTAAATCACTTGTGTGTATCTTCTGCCCTTCTCCTGCACTCCCACCCCTGGCTTTGCGAGAGCTGGGGCTGGTGGTGGTGCCTGCCGGCATAACCGTGCGTCCATGCCTGCCTGCCCTTCCGCAGCGATCGAGAGCTGAAAGCAGCCTGGAACAAACACACCGACAGGTTTTGCTGAGGGAGTTGTGGCTGGTAGTGGCAGGTATCCACACTGACTGGTAGCAACGCCGTGCCAGCCTGTGCCCTGGACCAAGACCCCGGAGCACAGCCCCGCGCCGTCTGCCCGGCTGCGCCCAAGGCGACCGG